TTATTATTATTATTATAAGATTACTAGAATTGTTATTATTATTGGTGAAATAAATCATAAATCAAATCATTAAATCATATATATTCCCCTCCTCTATTGGAGCATACGAATTGACCAATATAATTCACTGCCACTAAGGTCAGAATTAACTTTACAATATTTTAGTCAGTATTCTGAATAGTGGTTAACGCTCCAAAACTATTAGTTGCACGGTACCATGGGAGAATAAAACCTGACCCTTGAACCGATTACAAAGAAATGTCACCGCAGTAATCAAAGTGTGTAACATCACAATATTTGGTTTTAGATTTGCAATTTGATAATGGCCTTAACCCTCTTACGAATACTAATTTGCATAATAATAATATTAATAATAAACATTAAATTGACCCACAAAACAAAGATATATATACATATATATATGTATTGATCTTTCGAATTCCACCTTTAATATATGTAAATTATTGTAAATTTGCATAATTATAGTTTTACTTCAAACCTTGTACTTCACTCCAATGGTGACCTATTTACCAAAATTAGTGTTCACTGCCTTATAAATGCATTAGTGTGTATTGACTAATCGTGAGTATACGTTTTCTTCATAGCCGGTGATCATATGAAATTTGGGTTACCGATGGCAGCATCGACAACTAACATAGCGTGGGGTATGCTGATGTACAGACAAGCGTATGAACATCTTCACATATGGAATGAATCACTGGCTCAGTTGAAATGGCCTTTAGACTACTTTATTAAATGTCATGTGGCACCCGAAGAATTTTATTATCAGGTAAATATCGTGGTGTTAATGTGTAGACTAAGAACTACCTACCCGAGACGGTAAACAGAAAGCACACTATTAAAAACAAAATTCAAGATATGGGTGTGTATATGTTCAAATTGGAATAAAGTGCTTTCCAAAAATGTCGTATAGTCGACATACCACAGTGGAGTAATATTCGTATCACATGTTTTACACAGCCTATATTCAGTGTAAAGTCTTAGAGCTCTGCCACCCTTTATAAAATGACCCGAATATTTGAAATTTAGAAGTATTTTTCTCAATTGAACATTACAAATAAATAATTTAAATATGTATTTAGTTGTTTTTCATACAAATCTGCGCTCTGCAATTTTGCCTAAAAATATCATTTTTTCTACATATATAATTAATATAATAAGAAAGTTTTCAGAATCACTAGCATCCTGCCAAAGCCACACTTCATGAAAGACAAACTTAAGGGTTAAAAACTATCCCGGTGTAAAACGATTCAGTGTGGTGTGAATCGATAGCCCTGATATATTACCATAGTGAAAAACAATAGGGTTAACTGCGAATATCACAGCAATTTGCTCATTATGATAATTGCTGTTATTTGATCCGAAATTATAGGTAACTCTTTTGGATAATTTATAATTTGGAATTTGTCGTGGTTGCAAAATATACAGAAAAGCATTAGATAGCGTTACGTAACATTGCATAGTAATTATGTATCTCGTTAAATGTGTACAATTGTTTTATATGAGATCGAATTATATAAACACCTGCTGAAACGACTATACCCACTTTCTAAATCACTGAATGACAATTTTATGGATTAATTAGTTGCAATGAATTATAAATATAGACATGTAATTGTTTATTAGGGTATATATCTTGTTATCGATACACATATTCTTAAGAAATGTGTGTGGTGTGCAAACTATATCAACATACCACGTATCGATTCTGTGGTGTGATTGGTTAACCCGTTGTCACGTGGGGACAGTTTGACGCTGTTACACCAAAATTATGAAAACCAGTAAACAATATTCAATCTATCTCCAAAGTTTCTTAAAGACCTTAACTAGAGTAACGTTTGTCAACAAGATGTTCGCGTTCAGTTTGGTAGCAGACCATGTAATTATACTTTTTCCGAGGAAAAGTTGTCACATTTTCTTTCTAGACTTCACAACAAGCCATAAACATGACCAAAGGCGCAACACAGAATTGAAAAATAAAATGCTGCGTTGATTGCCAGTTACCAAACATCGTAGAATAGTTACAGGTGACCAAAATCACCAGAATAAAAAACAGACGCATGTTGCAACTGAACTATTCTTTGATTACACAGGAGTCTGATATGGCGTGATATAAAACTTATATTCATATTATGGAAAACAGACGAATAATCCGGGCCCATGACCTGTTGTATTTAGTCGTTCTACAGATTACGTATTTGTCAAATTGAATAACGTTATGATGTCTTGGTTATCATACATAATTCGAAAAAAAAAATATTTTTCTCTTTTAGGTTGGCGATGGTGGTCTGGATCACCAATATTGGGGGCGTCCCGAAGAAATGGACATGGAAAGGCCATCGTATAAATTAGACAAAGATACACCGGGTTCTGACATTACAGGCGAGACTGCAGCCGCAATGGCTGCTGGGTCTGTGATATTCCAAGAATCTGGTAACTGTTTGTTATAATTGCCTTGATTACTGATGGGATTAATACGCCTTAGGACGTGTTAATGATGGACACATTATGCCGGTACATATCCGTGAAAATACACATTGGTATTCACAAGGATAACGTTTTACGGAATACTGGCCTGACATAACATACTCTGTCTCTCTTTTTACAGATCTAGAGTACGCTTATACACTGTTAGAACATGCTAAAGAGCTGTTTAATTTTGCAATGAACTACAGAGGATTGTATCCCAGTTTGGGGTATTATGAGTAAGAGACATTCACGTGCATTATATATACTAACTTTGTGTAGTATCTATAGAAGTAATTGTTCATGTAGTAAAAGTATATGCACATATAAATGACCAAAGAGTCTATCAAATAACCAACCAATCCCACTCACATCTCAAAGCTGCCAATCAAACTAACATCCACCGACTGAATACACCACTCAACCGCCATACCTTCAGTCATATAGATTAGTATATTATCTGTATGCAAATTATCAAAGCATTTTACATTTCAATACAAAATATATAATAAAAACTTATATGTTATTTAGGTCGTCTAGGTATGGAGATGAGCTTGCGCTAGCAGCGTGTTGGCTTTACATTGCCACCAATAATTCAGCTTATTTAACTGAAGCTGAACATTTGTACAAGGAATACAATCTCCACGAAAGTGCCTGGTCATATGCGTGGAATGACAAGAAACCTGCTGTTCAGGTAATGAATCACATATAGTGTTCCACATGTTTTGTCTTCAAAAATGTTAATTTCATGATGCATTTCGTCACGAAACAGCTACAAAATATAATACTCATTTCCAGCAATACAGTCATATAGCACAGGTTGCTGAAACGCAAATACAACATTACTTCTTACACGCAGTTGTCCAGAAAATGACACGTCTATACCATATATTTCAACAACGACGCCTTTGGGGGTAAACTGTTTAACACCCCTAAAGTATCACCGTGTTGTAAATTGAGTGTGTGCTTGCCTCCGCAGTTATTATTAGCAGAACTGACAGGAAATTCGGGGTATGACTATGAGACTGACTTCAAGTCATTCTTGAATGAATGGTTGCCAGGTGGTAGTATTCCATATACACCTCTGGGGTTGGTTTATCGCAGTGAATGGGGACCTCTAAGATATGCAGGTAATAATATAAACATGAGTGAAATTCTATCGAGGACATTAAGTCTTTCTATGCAAATGTATAATCAACATGATAATTTGGTTTTAATTCGCTATTCTAATTTTTCCTTGTAGCTAATGTGGCAATGCTTGGTCTGATAGCGGCAGATTTTGGAATACGTCAATCAGCCTACCGTGACTTCGCGTACAGTCAAATTGATTACATACTTGGGGACACTGGAAGAAGCTACGTCGTCGGGTTCGGAAACTCCCCTCCAGAAAGACCTCACCACAGGTCCAGGTAACTTTAAGGGATATGGTAGTACATGTACACACAATTTACTGAGCAATCAATTAGACTCTATAAATATTGAAGGACTGAAATATTGTATTGTATATTATTTCTTCAAATATAATTTTCTTTCTAGCTCCTGTCCTGATTATCCTGAAAAATGCGGATGGCAGGAACACTCCAGTCCTGATCCCAATCCCCAAATAGCCTATGGTGCGTTGATTGGAGGCCCTGACGAAAATGATAATTTCGTGGACGATAGAACAGACTATCGATCGAATGAAGTGGCGTGTGACTACAACGCGGGATTCCAATCAGCACTTGCTGGTACGGTGTATTATTTACTCCGATGATCAATAATGCCGCGTTAACTATTATATCACACACAGCATCCAGATTCGATGCTGTGATTGGCCAATCGGCGTCACATGGGGTTACAAAATTTAACGCTGCTACAGCGTACTTTAGAACACTTAATAGCCTACTGTGCATGCAGTTCAGAATATTTGGCGTCCGAAACGACATCATACGATATTAACGAGAAATCTAAAAGTCGCTTTTTCCAGCAAACGTTAAAGAGAAAGATGCATGCTGCAGTATTAACTGACGAGCTGAAATGTAAACAATAATTTTTCACAATATATTCATTTTACACCACGTTATATGAATGTATCGACATCTTTTTTTCGACTCGGCATGAATATTTGTCGTACCATATTTGTGTATGTATATTATGCAATGTTGTTTGTGCATTTCTTATGTACCGATAGTTGTAAAAGTTTGTGTGTGTTTTCTATATCAGAATATAAAATGCAGTTAAGTATTGTAGAACGTAGTCATACATGATAACTGGTATTGTTTTTCCCCAAATTGGAACCACGCTAATTTATGCAAACATAATCTATTGATTTTCAAGTGCCATTATGTCATCATGTTCAGTCATTTGTTTCAATGTATATTCTATTTAAGGTATGGTTGTCCGGGACATCAATGGTAAACTTCCTTAGACACTTACTGAAGTATGCTACACGCGAATCAATCATGTTTTGCAGTAATTGATACTAGTAGTGTTTATTTGAATAAAATTATGTAATTTTGAAATGACCTCATATTTCCAGTAACTACATTATACATTCTTATTATACAAATTAATTGGTCAATATCATAGTTGTTGTCAGGTGAAACAGTTCCCTGTGGAATTAGCTGATTGTACCATACTTAATCACTCACCCATGGTATAGCAGCATTACGTTAGGTGGCACTTACGATTGTGAGGATAGAAACCCATCCCAAAAACAAATGGCTCCTCGATGTGTGCCCAATAGTGACTATACTTAGACTCACTGTTTTAGTTGCCAAATGAAATTAGATGATTTGCGTAACCGAATTCAGTGTTATGACATGAAATAGACACGCAAACTCAAAACAATAATTTAGTTATATACTACCACAGTAACCCAATTATTCCGGGCTTGTGGCATTCTCTTTATCATACACGGTTTCGTCAATTCATATACAATGGTTATTATACTGTTGTCGTTTCTCGTCAGCGACTTCAATATTAGTTGTACACGCATCAATTATCAGTGAAGTAAGGATTGAAATAAAACAATAGAGATTGTGTATTTTAGATTTGGTGGAATTTAGACGATCGATCGGGTGTCCAACGAAGTCAATTCATTCATGTCAAAGATCCAGTTCCAAAATGGATGAATATGTGTTAGAACATACTATCTTTTTAAAAAAAATAATAGTGTTTTATTTTTCGTAAGTATATTTTTACTACTTTAATTTATATGTAAAGTTGTAGCCATTATACTGCTGAACTAATTTGTTAAATTTAAATATAAAATTCACATTTTAATGAAATGGGGCTGCTTTTTAATTCATCAGTAAATGTCGCTACTTGGGTTAGGATGGACATGCATTGCAAGTAAGTCTTCATAACACAAACAAATGACCGGCAAACATGAATAACACGTGACTTGCAGACCAGGAAGTGATATCAGGTATATGCTTCACGATACTCGGGTCAGACAAATAAGCGAAATAGACCCCTGATTGAACGAACTTCCCCTTTACAGGGACAGCGGTGAAACAAAAATAACGTTGTTTCAAAACTTGCTTGCCCAATAAACACAATTTTCAGAGCACAATTTTATATACAAATTTTAAAAAATTGTATGTATTGTTTATTGAAGTGTCAGGTAAAGAACGTGCTTTCAAAAAACATCTTTCATAAACACCAATACGTTGATCTATCTTCAGAATAATTTACAGCAATGGACAATCATTGAATTCTTCGGTGTTCAGAGAATACACAATATTATCCTCCCAAATCGTCTATTTATTTCAGTATTATGAAATATACACATCCGGGTCACATTAAAATTACCCAAACATTTCCAGCAATGTGTAGTTGAGATAAAGAAATTGTCGTGAATCAAGTAGTTTTCATCACATCAAATAGAGATCAATGCCTCGTACACAGTTCAAACATTGAAATATTCCGGATGGAAATACTGGAAGATGTACAGTATCGAATACATGGTGGAATTAATTCCAATGTTAAATGTTGTGATCATGTCGCCAAGTCTTGTTGCAAACGATATCCAACCCAGAGTATTTACTTTTCATGCGGAGGTGTGATTTCCCCGTCTTCGAAGACTATAATATGTTACATTCTAAACTGGGTGACGTTTGCCGTGCCTCATTATAAGTATACATTTTTAGCTTCTTCAGAGCGAATAGACGAATCAGTGTGATTTATGATGCATATGTAATGTCCAATTTTGCATAGGACATCTCATGTGCATTCTCTGTGTGCATCGATGTTTATCGTTAAGGGGTTAGCATACGTTTAATGTTTTATTTTAAATTATAGATGGTTATGACAGAATCTATGACTGTGCTTTTATTCTAAACAAAAACTCCACTTAATAAGGCTTATTTCGCCGTATTTTCTATTTCAAAACATTGCCACGTGTGATTGTTTATAAACACCACCAACACAAGCACAACACTCGCATGAAAGTGATCCTAATTGACACTTGATGATAGATCCGATTTGCATATCAATACTACAAAGTTTACGTAATTACGGTACTCATTTCACACAGCCTTCCGCTTTTACACCCACAGCTTATTGCTTGAATTCCGACCGCGCGGCCTTGTCCGACCGGAAACCGACAGCATTGTAATCGCTCATTTTCTCCCTCGCTGCTCATTGAACTGCTCGCCAAAACACTGATGACACATGAGTAGTCGAAATGGTGGTTTTTCAAATCCAATAGTTGCATGACACCGTCAAAGCAACTTAACTGGGACCTCTTGTTACGTGTTTTGGGTGCTTGTTCTAAATGTAATATTTTATTTTAATGAGACAGTTACATGAAAAGGACATAGGTAACTTCTTTCGACAGAGCAGAGAAACGAGGAAAATGTTAATGATTAATTCCAAAAATAACGATACCAAAACCACGTCGGTCCACAGGCGGTCGGTCTGGTATAATTTGACATTCAATGTTCCAAATTAAGTCACGATCAGTGGAAGAGCTCGATCTATACGACCGTAAAAGTGTTCCCACAAAAAATATTTTGACTAAAACGGCCACATGCTCTGAAAAAATAGAACAGAGCTTTACATAAATGAATAATTCAGAAAAAGTCAGTTATAGTCATAAATATTTTGTGGCCACACGATGAACAATTCGAAAATCAGGATTCACGCGGAAGTCAGGGCTGAAAATCATCGACCCTACTCTGGGTTACCTTATTTCACAACTAACAAAGAAAACTGATTCGCCGTGGACTAAGTTTAGTTTTTCTTCTTTCTGAACTGAGGTCAAATTCCCTCCGTTAGTCAAAATATACCGATGTTTTTCAGTGAATAAGCCTGTCACAGAACAAAAAAAAACTACGTCAATCGAAGCCGGAGATTGGACGGTACGACGACCCTTCAATAAGGGTCAAATATGCTTTGTTACAACATCATTGATTTGCTGAAAGTCACCTGATCGGAACACGACCTGGGTCACAGAACCATATTTGTCCGTATTATCAACAGGATTTTGCGAGAGAACCACACCCACATTTTCAACCATTTTCAGCGCGGAAGTTGCCAATCAATGTCGAAAATCTCGTGCATTTCATGTATTCGGATAAAATAAATCTAGCGATTGCTAAATATTTTGCTCTTGGAATTTTTATTTTATTGATTTCAAGGTAAGAAATGGCTAGTTGAAGTTGTATCGACTTCAAGGCAGCTGTTTCACCGCGAACAACCAAGCTCTGTTGTAGTTTCGCGATGAAAAATGAAATATATATAATAATAATACTTGTTTAATTATTTGGGTTTTCAGCCCACAAATTACGGGACATGATCCACGTGAATTACGGTCAATGTTTTGTCTCGGCTGATTGTGATGAATACCGGGACGTCGGGACCGACGCCCGTCCAAAACTCACTATGGAGAAACCAACGGGGATCGATTTCCCAAACAAATTAATGGGGCACGGTCGACAGACATTCCAAACAATGGAAATTATCAACGAAAGAGGAGAGTTTTCTAGATATACTGTCATGACAAACATGTAAAATTAACAAATACACAAAGAGGTGTAATATTAGGTTTGATTTTAGGCTTAGATTAAATATTTTCACTCAGCCCATGCATGGAACTGCCATTTAGCTTCATGGTCCTTCAGCTTGTCTTCGCCTTGAGGAAAACAACAATAATTATACAAACCGTAAACATATTGCGAAGACTCAACAATCGGGAAAAAAAACAGACAACCATGTCGTACTTGTGTTGAAATACATTTTGTATTTCACGTCAGAATATTGTTGAAAATAAAATATTCAATCCAAGCCAAATCGAAGTCAAAGAGTCAGATTGCGTGCATATACTTCAAGTTATAGATAGTTAAAACGAAAAGTATTTGAACTTTTGTCGGCTGTTCAATATTTATAAAAAACAGTAAGACAATTATAAGACAATGACAAGCGGTCATAAAAGCGAGCGGAAAAAGGCGAAGTCATTGCTCTTGTTACTAAAATGGAAACCATGTTCACACGCTTGCTACGACGTACCACACTATCAGTTTTACAGTGAACAGTGATCAAAACAAACTTGAAAATATCTTGTGCACACGGCTTAAACTCCGCCTCCACACCATATTAGTAATATGCAAATCACTACGTCACTTTCGCGGGAAGTCATCACGTTGTCGGTTGACACACGGTAGGGCCGTTCTGAGATTTCAAAACATATTTCATCCTGTCTTTAACGCGTATAACATTTAGCCCCGACATTAGAAGGCATTATTTAGTAGCTGGTCGCTAGGCAGACATGTTTCAATAATTATAACTCCATATTTTTCAAATTTGTTAGGCCTAGTTTGAGATTCATTGACCTTGGACGTTTTTTGCGTTTATCTTGAAATTGATTTCTACGTAGTTCTACAGATTCAGTACGCAATTTCTTACAAACGAAAGGTCAGATCATCGCCATTTTTGGTCAACTTTACCGCTATATAGAATACTGGTGGAATGTATCTGTATTCAAAAAAAATATATTCAGTCGTGCTGCAAATTAATTATTAATTGCGTCATTAACCGTTTTACTCCATTTTCGCGTATTCTTGTGATCACGTGACTTGCTATTTGCATAATTTAAAAAAAATGCCATATTTCCAAAGTTTGAAACAAGATCTTTATTATAGTATATAACATGTATGGGTAAAATGTATTTTTCAGTCTGTAAATTGAGGCCAAAAAATTGAACCAGCGAACGTATGCTTACCCCTTAAGATTGCTCAATGGTAACCTAAACTTTGACGTGTAACTGCCCCACTCTCCTATTGTATTTGGCGCCTTTCAACACTGATTGGGAACGCGCAAGAAAAAAATGTGACCGTCACCAATAATTGGACAAATGTAAACACCCCTGTACTTCAAAATGGGATGTTCCATTTCACTAGAGGTGTGATCACCAGGATTATCCATGATAAGTTGTGTTATTTTAATTTTCGACCCTTAATTAAATCAGTACACAATTATCACATTACTTAAGGCATATGCGTTGTTTGCTTATGACTGAAATTTGCCATTCGCTTCTAATAAAATATGGAGACTGATTAATATACATATATCATAGGCAGTAATGATACAAGGATTCGCCCCATGCCTTGAATATTTTAAATTGACGTTTGTTATAACATTTTTGTTGGAAAGGCTTCAGTGTGTTGTATTTGTCGTTCAAGCCGGTTTCTTCTACACAAAGCTCGTCCCAATTTATGGGCTTAGATGGTCTGTGTTCCACGAACACAAGCAATATATCATGACACGTCAAGATATATTAGAGAAGAATGTTTTTTGTAAGAACTAAAAAGTTGTTTTGCGTAACTTTTTATATGCTCTTCAGGTAACAAATCTTTGAAAACAAATTTTCGAATTTCAACTTATTTTACAGGTCATGTGTAGATATATGTCAATATTACACGTGTCAAATTACACGCCCTTGCAAACACGTTGAGGCATAACAACATAGGGTGTGTAAAAAGTGTTAAATTCTGGATATTCCTGCAATGATGTCTTCGCTTTGTGTCGGGTATTTGTCGTCTGGCGTCTTCAGTAGTTTCAACCCGGGTGTGTCGACTCGCCAATAATCCACTAACACGAATAATAACAACTTAAATTTTCACATACATAGTGTTTTATTCATCAAATGTTAGTGGCCATATCGTCTACATTAATGACATATAAATTTGAAGTCGAACATACCATACTTAAAGGCCATATATCAATATCATTTTGTCATATTCGCTTGGTGTACTATAATGATGCATAAATAAATAGGTCAGTTAAAAGGCAAAATACTGCTACCGCGTATTTCCACGAAATTGTCAATAATATCAATAAATAGCCGACAAACACGTGAAACCCCGTGGTCTGCGAGGGACACGGCAACTATACGGCTATTCTACTTGATTGAATATATAATACTTCGATGTTGATTATGTCTTTATTAGTAGTCAACAGTAGTTACGACGCCATAAAATTATCGACAAAAGATCTCCCAAAAGCTGCTACAAACAGCGCTCTCTTGTGACGCACATAAAAGTAGGTTTCAACGGAAGTTGAAATATTGCAGAATGTAACAAGTGAACTTCACGTACTGGTACCGAACCGATAACACCTGATAATGTATGTGACACACGTGGGATACGGCCATATGTGATACATGTACAATATACCATTCATTCCTAAAACTTCACATGTATTATAATTCTTATTATAAGTTAGAATTTATTAATTCACAACAAAATCAATACACTATACATGTTATTTGAGGAATATGTGGCCAACCAACTGCATAATATAAGTTCACATCGCATTGCGGTGTCTGTTTCGAACACACAAACTATTAGTATCATCAGTTATATCTTAAATATATCCCCGTTATCGTATCCTATCAATAAAAACAAAGTAACATATTCAGCCTATATTTCAACGTCAGCCCCATCTGCCTTTGCACGTACATGTTTCTGTTTATGATAACATGGCCACCGAAATGAACACAGCACTGTTATTTTGCACTCTCTTGTTTACGTTTTGTTGTCACCTTGACACTGGCAAAGGTTGGTCATTTAGTAGATAATCGCAGTCATCACTTTGTACGTATACCATATGATCATTGAGAATCATCAATCAAATGAGTGTTCACCTTGTATTTAAACATTGTATATTTACAACTTGTAAACCAATCATGGATTGCCACTAGATTACAATGCATGCATCGCATTTAAATTTTTTAAAAAAAGGTGTATTAATTACTTAGGATAATCGTTCATGTACCAACAACAAACGTTCTAATATTAACACCCACAGCGGCTCTGTATAACTATGGCGAAGCTCTCCACAAATCGATCTTGTTTTATGAAGTACAACGGTCAGGGTATCTCGAGAAGAACCGTGTACCATATCGGTCCCATTCAGCAATGGACGATAAGGGTCGGGCAGGTGAAGATTTAACTGGTGGATGGTACGACGGTGAGTGTATCACGATCGTTCTCAAAAAAAAGTCAAGCCTTTCAATAAAATTTTTTCGAACATAATATTTTTAAATATTATTACACCAAACTACATCGAAGAAGTCGAATAATCAATTGGATGAAACTGTTATACTACTGTTATCAATGGAATTTTTGTGAAGATCAGCCCGAATGCTAAGCAAATCACTTTTTGCAGTTGAAAGATATATTGTAAAACAAATTCGAGCGCGAATATTGTTACATTTCTGTTAGTAACGTATGTGTGTTTTTTTCTTTTCGCGCCTGTTCCCGGTCATTTTTCTATTTTAGTAAAATTAAAAACCGTCAACTAAAAGATATATAAACGCGTCGGTCGATATGCTTGCCATTCTGCCTTTGCTTATACGGTACTCCCGTGATAATCTCAAATTTCAGGACACGAGATACAAAAATAAGAAAACAAATATAAATATAAAAATATTTAATTCATTAATTTTATGCAAATATCATGTTATATATCGAGTCTAATAACAAATACTCTTACACATACGTGTAAGTATATTATTTTCTCCACAGCCGGTGATCATATGAAATTTGGGTTACCGATGGCAGCATCGACAACTAACATAGCGTGGGGTATGTTGATGTACAGACAAGCGTATGAACATCTTCACATATGGAATGAAACTCTGGCTCAGTTAAAATGGCCTTTAGACTACTTTATTAAATGTCATGTGGCACCCGAAGAATTTTATTTTCAGGTTAGTGTCATGATGGTTTTTCTGAAATTCATTATTTAGCAGCCTGTCGCTCCGTCAAGTTCATTAACTGTAAGAGTACCACTGGATTAATTGAGTAGAAAAAGTATCAATCAATCTCTGGCAATGATTCACTACGAATCTATGATTTATACATGGCAGGATTTTTACCGTGTTCCATTCTTTTTCTTGTTTTCTAAAAAACAAAAAAAATATGGACGGGCAATATATTATGAAGGCATTTTGAATCCGTGACCAATTGCGGCCATCGCATAATGATCGAGAATAATCGATATTGCATTTCACTTAATGTAAACACGAGTACACTTTATTTGTTCATTTTCAATGTTAAAAATAGCCGTGTTGCATGAACGCATTTAGGCAACCAGTAGAAGGTGTGACGAAGAGCAGCCACCAAGTATGAACGACGAATACTAGTAATCGACATAGCACTATTACCCCCTTCAACGTATTGATACTGGTTTGATATGTTGATATTCGCAATCGCGTACGATTCGCGCAGCGATAATAATTCTAACAGGGATTGTCTATTAAAAACCTCGGGATGATTTTTTTCAAAGATAGTAAATTTCATAAAACATATTTAAAAAACACACATATTTAATAGAAAGAAATACTATATCATCTTAAAAAAATCCAGCTCAAAATTGTCGAACACAGTAATTTGCATATTTGTTTTACCTTCTTGCCTTTCAACCTTTCTACTGCTCAAACCCATTTTTTCTGTAAGGTCAGCGTCTTTCAACCTTTCTACTGCTCAAACCCATTTTTTCTGTAAGGTCAGCGTCTTTCAACCTTTCCACTGCTCAAACCCATTTTTTCTGTAAGGTCAGCGTCTTTCAACCTTTCTACTGCTCAAACCCATTTTTTCTGTAAGGTCAGCGTCTTTCAACCTCTCTACTGCTCAAACCCATTTTTTCTGTAAGGTCAGCGTCTTTCAACCTTTCTACTGCTCAAACCCAATTTTTCTGTAAGGTCAGCGTCTTTCACATTGACTCCGTCGGACAATCAAATAAATTCGGATGATGAGTCCAAAACACGCATATTGCATAATTCATTTTGTTGCGGTCATTTCCATGGTTAAATTTTAACATTGATTGGTTCCTATTTCCACGCCACGTCATATCAATCATTTGTTACTGTGATCAACCTGCATTTTCTTCAAGATTAGTCTTTCAACCACATTTTGAGCTATTTCGATTGAAACCACTGACTCCTATGCCATTTAAACCAACCACCATAGCCATAAACAGTTTGATAGCGAGTTTTAATTACATTTTTTAGTTTTAAAGTTTTTGAGAAAATACAATATGAATTTATAAAACAATCGCCCGAAATGTTGTTGTGTCAAATTGTTTCCATCCCTGTAATATCTACTAATTGCCCATCACAAGTTACTCGTAAACTTTTACAACGCGGGCGCAGTTTTTTCGTGAAAAAGAAACTGTCCAACTTGAATTCCGCACTCGGCGGGCAGGCCAGATATGCGTTCAAAAAAGCTCCGGGGCTAAGGCAAGATAAATTCTGAGACATGGAATATGTCATGATTTTGGATAATGTATTTGCAAGAGAATATAAAGAATGCTGTACTCCCGGGTTGCGTCTGAGTCTGTTCCATGCCTGGAGAGACTCAAAGGGGGAAGGGTGTATGCTGCGATTATGTAATATCAAATATTTTAATAACTAAAACATGGCCATGATCTCCTATATGCCACCTTAGAGCACATGGTTTATATATAGACGATGGATTTCGGGTTCATATAACAGCTCACAGCTGATAGTTTTACAGAAGGAGTAAATGGGCGCGTATTAATATATTTTTACTGATGTTCAAAACAAATGAAAGGATAAAGAGTGAGCATGACAATAAAAATCTTTGGGTCTATTGGGTGTATTTGATGTTGACATCTAAACATATTTCTTTGTGAGATGGGCTGATTATGTCGTATACTGTATTTAAAATGATTGGGATACGATTTAATCATTATATTGAAAATTAATTTCTTTTGCAACTATGATCCTCACATGAGTTCAGTATATCCAAATCCGTAAATTATACAGTGTCAAAAATTGCGTTTATTGAGTACATTGTTTCTTATCATAAGTCATTCAAAACTACTGTAAAATACTTTATTTTTGCTTGGAATTAATTTTCGCTATTTTTGCTGAAAAAAATGATTCCGTGCAAATAAAATCCAGCAAATATAACTTTTTCTCTATATTTTACATTCAACTCGCCAAAAATCATTGAAAATAATTTCTATATAAAACACCCAAAAAGTCTTTTCAGCAAAAATTAATTTCAGCGAAATTAAAGTATTTTACAGTAATTGATTGGTTGTTTGATTCGCATTCGATATATTCGAACTGTTGGTTTGTGTTCATAGGTTGGAGACGGGCCTTCGGACCACGCTTACTGGGGGCGCCCTGAGGAAATGACTATGGATAGACCACCCTATAAATTAGACATAAATACAACTGGCTCTGATGTTGCTGGCGAGACGGCGGCGGCAATGGCTGCTGGATCTGTAATATATCAAGAAGATGGTAAGATTGTAACTGATTTATTAAATTGTATGGGATGCATTCTACGTATTTGACACGGCGACAATATTCACAATGCATGCCAGTATGAAAACGAGATATGAAGCTAAATTCATACATATAATGCAATGCAGTGTTTAAACACCGTAACGTACGTACCAGACGTAATCTGCCTTTCTCTATACAGATGCAGAGTACTCTGCGACACTATTGGAACATGCTAGAGAGCTGTTTACTTTTGCAATGACCTACAGAGGGATATATCCATTTCTGGGTTATTATGAGTAAGAATCGTTTAATTTTGAACATCAGTGATTGTTTTGTGTACGTCCGATACAAAGACTACTATTTCTAAATATAGATACTCTAAACCGAATATACAATTGACATAATATCTGTGTTTTCACAGGTCGACTGGATTTGGTGATGAGCTAGCACTAGCTGCTTGTTGGCTGTACATTGCCACTCGTGAACCTCAATACTTAACCGAAGCCGAAAGTTTGTACATTGAATATAATCTGAAAAAAAAAGCCTGGGCTTATGCGTGGAATGACAAAAGTCCCGCAGTTCAGGTATAGTTCATGATATAGACATCCTCAATATGACATATTAAATATATGAAGGACACAGTTGACAATACAAAATCAAATGACTATAGCTTTTACAGGGAGCAATTCATCGGTTCTGAGAGTGGCGTGGCTGCCCGTGACTGGACCATACTTGCTGCGAGTCCGATCAGACATGTTAAAACATTATTTAAATATACAATGTGGACAACTCTGAATGATGTTCCAATTGTTTCGTCTTGATTTAATCCGAAAAATGCAATCAAAACATTGGTTTCTCTTTTACAATATATCACTTCCAAATTAGTCAATTAGTTCGATTTTTATGAAATTTTCGGCCATGTGTTGGGTCCACAGTTGTTACATATCGCAACATTCCGAACCCAACTACATTGCAGATATCCGACTTCATGGTATTTCCAAATAATATTGCGTCAGAATCTAATAACAAACCATTGCCACTTGCGGTTTGACTGCAATTATTTGACGAGAAGACAAAATGTGTCAAAAAACATACTTCATTCACAATTATACGGAACGTAATATGCGTCAGAAATTTATTTGTATCACGTCTTTGACGCTAGAGAAAGCAGCGCATATTCAACTAACATGTTAAATTTAAATCAGATAAAAATCGTTTTATATGACACTATAATATATTTTAATTCCAATCTTTCTTTGATAAAAATGTAAGTCAGTGTGGTTAACACAGCATGAATGATTAACATAAATTGACATGACACGCATGCGCAGACAATGGTGTGAACCAGAGATTAATTTTCTTGTCTTGACTGAGTTTAGTTGCTGCTATCGAATCTGACTGAAAAGATAGACCATACCTATACCAGTGACTTCAAAACATACCTTAACACCTGGTTGCCTGGTGGCGGTATTCCATATACACCTCTGGGACTGGTTTATCGCAGTAGCTGGGGACCTCTAAGATATGCAGGTAATGATCAGTCTCAGTTCTTCCACTGTCCCCCTCACGTGACATGTCGCAATAAAACACGTGACATTTGTCAACTAATTTTTGACATGTGTACGTGTTTTAACTAGTGATAATACTTTCAATTGGCGAAACTTATACTTAACTGATCACTAACTACGTAAATCAATAATTAACAAGCACACGCCGTTGTTGGCGCTATATAATCATTAAATCTACTCCTTGTAGCTAATGGGGCAATGCTTGGGCTGATAGCGGCAGATTTTGGAATCCGTGAGTCAGTCTACCGTGATTTTGCGTACAGTCAAATTAATTACATTCTCGGAGATGCTGTTAGAAGCTACGTAGTCGGGTTTGGAAATAATCCACCGGAAAGACCTCATCACCGATCAAGGTATTTTCAAGCAGGTTGAGCTGGTCCTTTAATATCGGAAACCATCAAATATATTATCAAAATGTGTGTTTTCAATTTCACTCACTCATTATGAAGTTTGTAGTTGGGTATCAAGAAAGAAAACAGTTCAAATGCTCAGAAGGAATTTTGCCATTCAAAACAAAGTTACAATGTTCACATTGTATTCAACAATATTAAATTTTCTTTGGGACATGAAATGTGTTCCTAGTTCATGTCCTGATTATCCTGAGCCATGTGACTGGGCACAACACAAAGACCCGGATCCAAATCCTCAAATCGCCTATGGTGCATTGGTGGGCGGCCCAGATATAAACGACAACTTTGTGGACGACAGAACAGACTTTCGATCGAACGAAGTGGCATGTGATTTTAATGCTGGTTTCCAGTCAGCTTTAGCCGGTACATTTAATTCTATATTACGTCATCACATATATTACGTCATCACATATATTACGTCATCACATATATTAAGTATACGCTAGCACGTTGTATTGAGAATATAGAGCATACCTAGACAGAGACAAACTGATCTCAATGTCGATATAATAATATTCTCATCACGATTTAAAAAAAATTAAGACGTCCCAGGAAGAATCTATCTGCGCATGTTATATTAATTAATGTTGTTCATTTCAGGTATTGTATATCACGAAATTCCCAGCGAGACTCCGTAAGCATCCACTATCACAACGTGCGATATGCAATCTATTATTAATTGGTTTCAGCTTCTCTCAATAAACTAACTGTAATTGTAAATTTCAATTGTTGTTTGATCTTTGGTGGTGGACTATCGAATTTGTAGTAGAAAGTGCACCTTTGTGTAGAATGACTAGTAATGCTGCCCTCTCACGGCGGGTTTCATTATACGCGCAGATTCACACGGGTGCGCTGATCAAATTATAATTATAATTAAAACATACATTCGCGTCTTGGATACTCAGAGCAAATCATACTTTGCCTTCGCTGGTTTACTGAGCATTTTTAGCGCTACCACCTGTGGACTATCAAAACAAAAGTAAACGTGAGTGATGATATTTTCAACTTATTCAACTCATTATTTCACTATGGTTCGATTCTGTAGTTGATCAGACATTATATGAGCTCATTTATTTTGAAATACTCACATTATATAGTAATCGTGAATCAATTGAAAAATAAACAGATCACCACGTCATAGTGAGAATAAGGTATAGCAGTAACCATACCAAAACAGTAGAAGCTATTCAAGTTTGCTCCACCTTGTCAAATTTGCACAATCAACCACTCTCTGTATACTTTGTGCAAATCCTTATGATTAAAGTTGACACTAGAAAAGCGTCATGTATGACAAAACACTGATTTTGGGGAACCAAACTCTATCAATTAATTGAACTTATCGACCACGTCGATTGACCGTTATTCGTTGGATTCCTTGGTAGGTCATCGATTGGCTGCATAATGCCATTATGTCTCATCAGTATTCAAGTATGTATCTGCTAACTGTCTAGTTTATGGCTTATGCGCAGTCGCGGCTGCAGCGTAGTCCTTGCGCAATTTACCACCAATGTGGATTGCACTTTATCCGATATTATCTGAGAATAATTACCCTAGGCAACTTACAACATGGCTCTAATAATATTCTCCACTGGATCTAATAGCAATGTATATTCAACCTAATATATTATATCTAACAGAAACCGTAACATATCAGTATTTTAGATATATTCAACGGGTTCATTAGACTATATTATCGATATAATAGTAAGTGTTTTATAACACATTACACGTTCATACTACGAACGTGGATAGATCGTCTGCCGTCTTCTTCTCGACGTCTGCTAGCGGTGTCCGATTTCTTCACAACACGATGTAAAGACGCTTCTAGAAAACCTGATTGCGTCCTTCGTCTTCGGTGCGTCTTTATTTTCTACTAGTGTGCCAAGTTTTCTTCTGAACTGAAGCTAAATCGTCCAGTCTTTCGAGGCGTACCATCGATATCAGCGACCGAACTAGCAGACGACATATTGGAAATCACACGATCAGGTGACGAGTGACGTTATCCCCGGGCACTAGTTGGTGTACTACCCTAGGGAACTATTAATTTCCCTGGTGCTACTGTGGTAATTTAGCCGATAACACGTGATTCTGTTTTGAACAATTACAATACAGTATTGACAAGTGATGTGTTATGTGTTACTATAATCTGATAGATGAACTTGATAACATTTGGTGTGTTGGTGACAAATGTATTCAGCATTATCTAGCACGGGTTACAAATTGCATACTGCTTCGTATTTGTTACAGTCCCCAATCAGCGCGGCAATTCATAAACTCATTTCGAGGCGAGTTCAAGTTCGATGCAGCGAGTCCATGGAGAAATGAGTACCTGCCAACTGCGTACCCATGGACACCTAAAATATATATAATGGATACCCATGTTTACGTTTCCTAGTAACGGCATTATATCTATAAGTCACTGCGTAATTTCGTAACCTTTTGTCGCCGCCTCGTATTCTTCCAAACAATAGGGTGGCCCATAGCAACATATACGCCGAACCGCTGCAGAAACTAGACCCCTATTGATCACGGGTGCGGGTAATCATAATCATAGCAACACGATTTCACATTCATCATTATCATCGCAATTAATATAGTGCTACACTAATAATATATTTACTAAAAATGACAAAACTATTTACTTTAGTTAGAGAACTGAAAGTATCGCCACAAAATTAACAAATCTCCGTCGACAGCGAAGCTATTAAACAAATGGAATGGATAATAAGTAGTAACTCGACATACAAATAAAAAGTCGAGTTTTCCAAGGACGCGAAAATACTAACAATATCACATTTTTACGTCAGTATATCACGTGTTTATTCTACCCGAGTTTGTCGAACAATTGAACGCTCTATTGTATTTGAATACCACATTTATGGCCAACTTCATATGGCTTGAACCTTGGAGCGTTTTCTGTCAAGTAATACATATACAGTGTTTGTAATATTGTCGTATTTCTGGTATTTGAAAGAAAGCGTTCCATAGTCCACGTGACATAATTTTAAGTAGTGTGTATATTTCACCTGAAGGTGTTTCAGTTTACAGCGAATTTTGATTGGTTATTACTAGGCGACTTAAATGCCAGAACTGGAGTTTTACTTGATTTTATAGAAGAATGTAGCAATTTGAATGAAATGTATCAGCTTGATTATGAACTTGATGATTTCAATATGTCTAGAAGTTCATGTGACCATGCTGTAAACATTTTCGGACGTTAATTAATTGAAATTTGGTATAAAAAATGACGTGCATATTGTTAATTAGCCTGACAAGTTGGCGTAGGTGGCGCCCTGGACTGCTGCGAACCCACCCTGGGTTTCCCTGGTTAGGGTTAGTGTTGTTGATTACATAATCTTGAATAGCTCCTTGTTTCATTTTATTCGTGACTTCTCTGTTGATACTATTGATGTGTCAGATCACTGTCCTATACAATGTACGTTACAGTTTTCTGCGGTCAACACTGAAATAGGTAGAAAAAACATTATTGCAGACTATATGTACTTAAAAGTTTGGAAGGAATGCAAATGGAACGAGATTTGTGTTTGATGTTTATATATAAATTACACGATGAAATCGGACAACACACACAGAAAGCCGTCGACATTCTAACGGGCATATTTTTTAAAGGGCGGCAGTCGTCGTGCCATGTCCTGTTCGACATGGAACTCATATCGACGTATAAAACGCGCGTAAAATACATATTTTATTTACATGAAATTTGAACACGCGCTGCGCGACGACCACCGCGCTTTAAGAATTAAGATCTCGAAAAAAACAATTAAATGTAATAAAACGGACAATGCAAGGAGTGCACTGTAGTGGGACAAAGAATGTTTTGAGAACAAAGTAATTTGAGCTATTCATACCGTAAATCACAAAAAGAGGATGCACTTAGTAATTATATTCAAATTAAATAACCATTTCAAAAGTATGTGTAAAACCAAAGCAAGAGAGTATGACAACGTAATACGTTGTTACTTTGCACGCAGGGTACGTTTTGGGGGTGATTAAAGAAATTAAGGGTGGGCAAGGGGCTGTTCTCCCAGAGGGTAATGTTAGTACATTAGATTGGTTTAACTATTTTGAAGAATTGCTTAATGTATCAGCAGAAAACTTTTCAAAGCAACATTACTGACACAGTTATGTAAATAAAATGTGCTTTTAGCAGTCAACAGTGACATTACATTGAAAGAGGTCACAAAGTATCAAAAGCACAAGGAAAGCATCTGATTCAAATGGAATTGTAAATAAAATGCTTAAGCATTGTGGTGACAACATGCATCAAGGTCTGTGCCATTTATTTAATTTAATACACAATCAGCTCATGGGGAAAGGAAATTATTTTCCCATTACACAATGTCACGAGATGTTTGAATCATATCAGGAACTGTATTATAAAAAGGACACGCTTGTTATTATGTAATTTTGTATTTATTAATTCATTGTTATAGTATAAATTGATAACAGCCCAGAGGTAGGTTTTATAGCCCAGAAGGTAGCCGCACTTGTCACTACACGTACAGAAAGTACCTGTTATGTGACCTCGAGGTCGCACTTGGACAGTGCTGGACGAGTATCTGTATGATAATGAACAGGTGTCGCGGACCAATTAGTGATTGACACAATTAGTTTTTAAATACCCTGCCATCACATGGCTGAGACAGCGTGGTGCTCGGTTGTTGCTACTAGAGATCTTGACCAACGACGGATCAACGCTTTGTACGACCCTGGAAGCGGCAAGCAGTACCACCACATACTACAATAGTCGAACCCGGCGTTGAACATCAGTCTGAAGTCTAACTGGGAAGGAAGCCGCTAACTACCGTCGCTGGCTTCTTATAATTCACCGGGCGAATGCCGCTGACTGACACTGTTCGACGCACGTCGGGAAACGTCAGGTACCGAACATTCCCACACACACACACACTAGTTAGTTTTGGGCTTTGAGTTATATTACCTTGTTAATTTCTAGAATTGTTATTTTCCTGGCCAGTTTATTTATGTAATATTTTAGGAGTGCATGGCACGTGATATACGTGGCTAGTAGGGTACGTCGTTCCTCCCCTGGTCGCAGGGTCGTTACCGACTTTGCTGTGGTGTCTACAGTGCGAAATTTCGTAACCCCCACCTCTTACCAATAACAGAGTTGTGTTGGTGCGTGGTGAGGGCCGCGTGTAGTGCTGAACCTCTGCAAGGGCGGCGATACCGACGGAGAGAACTGTAGCAAGCATATGTTTTGTGTACCCAATAAACTATGGTTTCACGTAATTCATGTGTAGTGTCGTATGTGTAAGATTATCCGGTGTGCATTATTGCTGCTTATATGTGCATATAGTTATATTGAACTCTACTGGAGCCCATCAGTCTAAATTATGCTTGTGTTACACGAATTGTGTAATTTTATATTGGTAAAGAACCCGCACACGAGGTAAACGTATTGCATACTATTTGGTATTGTTGGTTAATGTTTGACCCTGTGACCTCGTGACACACAATAAAGGGGGATATTAACGTCTCTAATTATTGTGGTGTTTCGTTGTTGTCGTCGGTGAGTAAAATTATAAATGACCATCTAGTAAAGTTGACATTATCGTTGAGACCCGAGCTGGCTTTCGTAAAGATAACACTTTTGACA